TCGCAGAACCAGCCGCAGTTGCCCACGTTGGCGGGGATGTTGCAGGCCCCGGGCAGGGTGCAGCTGTGGCAGCTGGGAGGTATGCAGGGCCGGGAGCAGAAGCTGGTGCGGCAGCTCAGGTTGGGCAGAGAGCAGGTGTAGGACATGGCGCTGGGAGGAGTGGAGTTCTGAAGGTCAGTTTCAAAGCCTGATTCCTTTGTGCGCTGGTGTCAGGCCAGGTCCTCTCCGGGGCTTTATATTCTGTCCGCCGTGGGTGTGGCAACCACGGACAGCATTCCCCCTTTGGACCCTCTTTAGGAATTTTTTCATCAGTTATTTAGACACCTCACAAGAGTCCTTCTTACCTCATAAAATGCTTTACTCTGGCTTCTTGCTAAGTCAGGACTCCTCGCTGATCATGCTGGTTGGTCAAGGAAGAGCTTCCTGGTCTGACTTCAAAGTGGCCAACCCATTACCATGCCAACACACAGTGTCACTTCAGGAGGGACAGCTGCTCCCTAACTCCCAGAGTTGAGGCAACTTCCGTGCCTCCTTCCCCTGGCCAAGAAAAGTTCTGTGCCTTAGCTGACTCATAGATCAGAAAAGACCAGAAAAACAAAGCCATGCAAGGGAGCTCCCTCAAGAACCACCACTGGTTGGCAGGGAATTCTGGGATCGGGAAGAACTGAGCATTTCAACCAGGTCAGTGCCTGGCCGCTGTGCCATCCAACAACTCCCTCCTCCTGGAGAGGCTCCCACGGCTCCCTTTCTCCAGTGGTCACGCAACATGAGGGAAACTAGAATTTTAGGCGTCCGTGCGATACCTGGGGCACTCGCCTCTGTCCTTGCACACAGTCTGACTGTGACAAGAGTCCCATGGTGCCACGCACCGTGCCCAGGAACGGCACGCATGGCCTTCTCAGGCCTCCTCACACCTGGAAAGGGTTTGAGGTGAGTACACCGGGCCTCTGAGAAGTTACCAAGATCACAGAGCTCCAATGTGGTAGAGAGGGGTTCCAATCCACGTCTCTCTAACGCCGAGGACCATGCTCTCTCTGTCCCACGCCACTGTCTATGTCTCTCAGTCTTTTCATGACGAAGGAGCAGCAGGGGGGGGGGGGGGGGGGGGGGGGCGGGATGAAGTCAGTGTAGCGTCGTGCAGACCATACCTCTCCTAAATCAGAATGGGCCAAGAAAGAACCTTCACCGGTGTTCTTTATCAAATAATCAACAGCCACTTCTATGCCAATCAAAGAACATTTACTCAGGTGAGGAAGCCTAACGCCCATTAGAAATCTGAAGAGAAGAGGGAGAAAAAAACGGAAGCCTTTGATTGACCTGATGCAGAAATTATGTAAGCCTCTTTCTCCAGAGGAAAGACACCATCACATGCTTGCTGGCACCTTATGACCTTCCATGCCTCTCGACAAACAGACATCCCACCATCATGCTCTGGCAGACGGACAGATGAACTCTGAGAATGGTTTCATTTTTCATCTATCGTTGCTCCCATATGAAAGCTGTTTCTCAAAACAGTTATCTTGTGGAAGCGAGTGCTAAGTTCTCTAATGCGACCAGTGCTCACATTACCCCTTCTTGAAACCAGCCTCTGTGGTCTGTGACCCATCCTTCCCGTCAACCTTGCTGAAGACAAATCGTCATCAGCTGAGGGTGTGTTTTTTTTGGAACCAGCCAAATGTCACTTGGAATCATGCCAAAGGAATGGGTTAAATAACCAAGCTAACACCCCTGAATGGGTCAGAACCAAGTTGTGGTGGGAAAATAACAATGCATGCTTTCTTGGGCAATTGTAAAAGCCATTTTTCCCCTGGAGAAATTTCGAGTATACTTTGAGACAAGACAGCAGAATTGGAATAAGTGTGTGACACATACTTGGAAGGCCCTGACATTCTTACTCACGTTGACAATCCCCAACTCTCTGCTACGTCTGCCTGAACCCCGACTTTAAAATGATCTCACCACCAGCGAAATGTGGAATGGGTGTGTTGGCTTAAAACCATTCCCGAATGATCTACCTCCCATCGGAGGGAGCAAAGACCAGAAAGCAAGGAGCTCGATTCACTGATTTTTTTATCTTACTGCCTTCTGCCCTCTCTGCTTCTTCTATGATTCAAAAACAGAGGTTTTTATTCATTTGTTTGCTTGTTTTCAAGGTCATTTTATTGGGGGCTCTTACAACAATCCATCCATCAATTGGATCAAGCATATTTGTACATATGTTGCCATCATTGTTTTCTAAACATTTACATTCTATTTGAACCCTCGGTATGAGCTCCTCTTTTTACCCCTTCCCACCCTTGTGACCCCTTGATAAATTATAAATTATTATTCATTTTATATCTTATACCAACTGCTGTCTCCCTTCCCCCAAGGTTTCTCCCCCCTCCTCTCCCCACCTTCCCCCTACCTTACTGGTCCTACTGCTCCCATTTCTCTTGCTGAGGGGTTTGTCTGACCTGGATTCCGGGTGTCCTGAGCTCTTATCTGTACCCGTGTCCATGCTCTGGTCTAGCCCACAACATCAAAAACAGGAAAGGAATCCTGTGTGAGCATTGGTAAGTAGACCCGTGGGATCGCCATGACCATCGCTATACTGTCTACCTCCGTCAGAACAGAAGAGGCCATGTCTCTTCACAAATGGAGAGCAGGGATTCGAAAACATGACTACCCTCACATCTTAAGTAGAAGGAACCATGCCTACTACATGACCATTAGCTAAAATGATGGTTGAGAAGACTTGGGCAAGAAAATAGTTCTGTTTTAATTCACTTCCCTGAAACGCTCAGGAAGGCTAATGCTCTTTTTTGATTCCAATTGCCATGTACTATGAATTCTCCTGACTTTTGCATAAGTCCTCTTCTCGCTGGTCAACGACCCTTCAGTCAGCAGGATGAGCAAATCCAGTCCTAACAAAGAGAAAGGTTTAACAGCCGCCCCGTGCGTGTCATGGTGACAGATGCCATGCTGAGGCTCCCGTCTTCAGATGTGAGCAACTTGCAATTGAGGTCTAAGGATGCTCTTTATTGTGGAAGCCAAGGCTGTTTCCATGGGTGAGATCATGCACAAACTCCATGCTACTGAATCATGGAGTGGAGTCAGGGCGGGCATCCTGCGGAGGCCATCCACCCAATGGCAGGACTTTAAAGGCCTTTAAAGACTTTGTTTATTCTTCCCCAAACCATATTCCCTGCTGCCTGAAATTCCCATCATGAAGACTATAAATGTATCGGGTCACTTGCAGATTATTTAGACTTTAATGTGAACAAGCAGTAAGGAGAGGGAGCCTCATGCCAAAGAGGATGGCTGGCAGAGCCACCTGCATTAGGGAAATCAGAAAGATGCAAACTGCCCAGTATCAACACCGGCCTGCTAAGCTGGGCAGCCCCGGGTCACGTGACTATAAGAACAATCGAGGGGGCTCCCACAGGCTGTCCCCTAATCTCCATTGGATGGCCCTCAGGGGAGACACTGTGATTGGAATCCAGGGTCTAAGCCAATGGCTTTGGCTCAGAAAAGATGGTCAAATCGGGCTTCCAACTGGAGGGCCACACAGGAAAGGAACTGGTGAAGGAGCCAAGTTGGTGGCAAAGAGACATGGTCCCCTGAAAACAGGACTTGGGGACTGCGTCTACAAACCTTCTGCAGAGCCATCCTTCTCTCGCTGGTGCTCTCAGTCCTGCGATCCCAGTGGGAATGGGGTTTGAGGGTCTTGGGGGATCTAGCCAAGGCAGAAAAATGTTAACTCTGTCAGTACGAGGGGTTTTTCCTTCTGTGTAGTCTAACATGGAGGAGGAGAAGGGGAGCGAGTTGAATAGTACCAGTCTTCCTGGGAAAGCCGGATTCAGGATCCACTGAGAAAAGGAACAAAAAGGCATGTGTCTGCTGTGAGGATCGATGGAAAGAGCAGATGCTGAAACATCCGCAGCAGGACACGGAGGATAAAGCAAACAGGCTTCGTGTTTCGTATCAACGTGGTGCTAAGAGTTGGGCTTAAGTTTGCTATCAGTTCGATGGCTTGAAGCAAACATAAGTCACTGAACGATGGCTTCTCCCTCCAGCATCCCACAGGCCTTGTGCGCTCGAAGACCATCCCTGCAGTACCCAAGGGATTAGTCTGAATTATCTTGTGGACCACCCGCTCCTTGAAACGCTGACCTCTTTGCACTTGCAAGACCTTTACCCTCTCTGACAGCTGAGAGCCACATGGCACCCCTCTCCTAGTAAATCTGGCTCCAGTAGGTCTGACCCCCAAGCCAGGTCTTCACCATTTCTGTCGGCGGTTCCCAAGGTCCTTCTGTAGTCTACCACACTCCCCTCCTTCATCTTCGAACTCTCGCTACTCCAACTCTCTATTTGGATATCCCTCCGACATCTCTCACGAATCTAGTCGTTCTTGACCCACGCCTTCCTCTGGAGGCCCACTTTTGCTTCTTTTTGTAAGGTTCGATGCCTTCCGATACCTCTTGACCATGCCAGGGTCTCAGAGGAGTGCCACTTTCTGCCCTTCTCTCTGTATTGTCTCTCTGCTGCCGGTCAGCTTCTCCATCTCAAGTCACGCCTCTAGAGCCCTCCCCTCCTCTGCCCACTCTTGTACCCATCCTTAGTATTTCTCTTGTACCCATCCTTAGTATTTCTCACAAGCCTCCTAAGCAACCTTTGTTTCCCACCCAGTCCCACCAATGTCTAGGGTCCATCCCTACTCCTCCCAAAGCAGTCTCCAGAGGATCCTCCAGCGACTTCCTTACAAGCATATCTCACAAATAACCAGTCATGGCATTGCCAGGTATGGGTCTGCCTAACAACGTCGATTCCTGTGCCAGCCTAGGAGCTGTGCTTTGGAGCCCTCAGCGTGCCCTCTGACTTCTAATCTTCTCGCCAGGCAGAGGCCATGCCTGGCAAAACTTTCCCTTCTATCCGCGCTCAACCATATCCGACCTAAATTTATTTCAGATGTATGCTAATATTGCACCGTGAAGGTTGACTGAAGTTGAACTGTGGGGCATATATAAAGTTTTTAATAACCTTCTCATGAACCCTCATTAGTGTTATTACTTATTTATTCTACTGACAGTAGTCTATGGTCTATGTCAGGCTTTTAATTAGATGAAAGTGTTGTTCTCTGGAAGGCCTCAAGCCAACCAGCCAGGCAGACGACATTGCTATGAGTAGACTATTTGGGCTTTCAAACTCTTGACCCTCCTCCTTGCAGGCTTCTGATCACCGGAAGAATACTCTCACACTTCTGACATTTATCATTCTTTATTTACACCTTCCCTGAGTTACATCGACTTTTGTCTTTGGACAAACGTCTTATTCCCTTTATTCCTTCTAGATGATAAGAACGCTGTGGGCCAGGGATGGTGTTTACTTACGTGTGTGTTTCAATACCCCACACCACAGCAGGCATATACTATAGGGAACTGTTCGTTAGGATTGTGTCTACTAGACAGAGCGAAATTGAATGGACACGTAAGGTTGGGACCTGTAGAGGCGAGCCTTCTCCGAACTCAGACATGAGGCAAGTAGGGGAGCGATGGGGTTGGTGTTTGTTAGAGGAGCTTCATGAGCGTTGAAATGAAAGAAGATGAAATGGTGCAGAGGTTCGAGAAGGACATTATAACAAAGACCTGGAGAAGATCATACACTCGAAGAGGTGGGGAGGTAAGAAGAGGAGCCATTCAAGAGTCTTGCGAGGACGAAAGGTTCGGTATGACAAATGGATAGCAAGACAGATCTGCTTGGCAAAGATACATTTTAATCCAATTAACTTTGACATGACGGTCTGGATCAGGCTGGGTTCTCTAGAGAAGCAAATGCCAGTGATGTTCACACGGATGTGAACATAGAAAGACATGTGGATCAAGACACGGTTCACACAGCTGTAGAAATTAATAAGCCCAGTTCAAGACTGTGGGTAGGGGGTAGGCTGAAGGCGTCTTCTGACTCCTGTAGCTGCAGGGGCCGAGGGACAGGAAAGAGGAAGATGAAGCAGGAAGACCACAGCCGGTGGTTGCCAAGTTGAATGAATCCTCAATGTGTGGAACGAACCCAAGGCGAGAGTCAGCAGCCCACTGACAGCTCCTGGGCCCAGCAGGCGATGTGACCGAAAGTGGATCAGCCCGATGCAGGAGCCCAACCCAGCAGACGTGCAACACACGGTCAAATTATACTGAGTGCAGGCTACCTCCCTCCGTCAGATCAAGGCTGTGACCAAGTTACGGAGATTTATTCTCCCCACGACTGCTTGTCCGCTTCACAGGAGATCCCGTGTGAAAGTACATCAGTGGAGAATCTGAGCACACCCAAGTAGAAATGAAACTGAACTATGCCGCCATGGGATAGTTCAGTTTGAATTCCACGTGGCCCAGTGCCAAAGCCAGAAACCTGCTACTAGAATGGAAGATGCAGGAGTCCTCAGGACAGGGCTGCTAGTTCTTTATGAATGAGAATGTAGAAAGAGGAAACCAAGGGGCTGTAGATCCAAGCCTTTCCTCTACTTATGACAGAGGAGGAAGCTGGGCTAATCAGAAGGTGGAGAAATGGTAGTAGTAACTAAAGCAAGAAGACCCATTGTGTGTGGGAACATAGAAATCAAGAATGGCCTGTTGGGGGAGCAGTTCGAAATCACCGGCAGCTCCAAGGGAGAAAGATGAGACTTTCTATTCCTGTAAAGAGTTACAGTCTCGGACATCCTCAGGTGTAGTCCGACCCTGTCCTATCGAGTGCTATGGGTCAGAATTGACTCGCGGGCAGTTAGTGTGTGTGTGTGGTTTTACGTGCCTGTGCTGATGACAGGCACAGCAGAGACTTTAAGAGGAGATCATTACTACTGCTTGAGAAGTTTCTACAGTGAGGTAGAGATAAAAACTGGTTTTCAGGAAGTTTAGGAGACTGGGGAGCGGGGAATTCCAGTTTGATGGGGCTCACAGTAAGAGATAGCAATAAGGTTTCCCAAAGAGTCTATGTATTGTCAAGGGCTTCACAACCAAGTCATGGTCTTTGCTGGATGGGGACTTCTTGGGAGGGCGTCCTTGCTGCTCTGCCGGTGTTTGCCTGTGGAACCTAATGGCTGTGGCGAGCCCTTGAACCCATTTCATCATTTTAATGAAGGGGTATTTTTTTTAATAAATCATTTTATTAGGGTCTCATACAACTCTTACCACAATCCATACACACATCAATTGTGTAAAGCACATTTGTACATTCATTGCCCTCATCATTCTCAGAACATTTGCTCTCCACCTAAGCCCTTGGCATCAGCTCCTTATTTTTTCCCCTCCCTCCCCCTCCCCCCTCTCTCATGAACCCTTGATAATTTATAAATTATTATTTTGTCATATCTTGTCCCGTCCGACATCTCCCTTCACCCACTTTTCTGTTGTCCGTCCCCCAGGGAGGAGGTCACATATAGATCCTTGAAATTGGTTCCCCCTTTCCAACCCACCCTCCCTCTACGCTCCCAGTATCGCCACTCACACCACTGGTCCTGAAGGGCTCATCCGCCCTGGGTTCCCCGTGTTTCTGGTTCCTGTCTGCACCAGTGCACATTTTTATGAAATAGCTCTGATGAGTACTTTACAGTGCATGAATATGAGACACAAATGTATTATGCCAGGGAAATAAAGTTTATTGGGAAGTAAATGAAGGCGCCTGTGTGCGTTCCAGAGAATACCAAAGGAGCAAGGAGGGGAGGAGGTACAAGACACCCAGGAAGCACCGTTGAGTCCTACCTGGAGTTCAGGTTGCAGGCAATGCGTGGAACACCTTTAAAATTAAAAATAAGAGACTCAATAAAGGACTTGGCCAGACTTTCTTTCACAGAACATCGATGCTCCGTGTCTTGCTGGGTCTGAGATGCATTTTGGTGTCTAGAAACGAGGGTTGGCGGGATGAGATTTCCAAGAACCACTGAACTCCAGCAAAGGCAGGAACCAAGGACGCTTCCTATGCTTGATCCACATGGCTTCACTGATGTTGTCCAAGAGGAGTCAAGCTTTGGAATTAACTGCAACGTGATTGAGAGGTGCCACACGGTCCACAAGAGTTACCACAAGCATTGGTGGTTGCACATGGGTTGCAGGGGAGCCTGGGGGTGGGAAGGACACAGAGGTTTCACTTGGATTGGCAATGTCGGTGACGAGAACCCTACAGTACACATGACGCCTCGTGCTTCATGAGACAATCTATGAATTCTCCATGATTATACTTAGTTGCTATCAATTTGCTTGGTACCCAGGGCCACTCTTTTTCCCACCATGCCATGTGCACAGGTGGAAGATGTTTCTGAAACATTTCACTGTTTAGTTGGTTGGTTGTAGAAAACGACTATCTCATCCTCTTGAGTTCCCATGAACCGCCACGCAATGCATCGGACCCGACAGTTATTGGGAGTTGCGATGTGTCCTCCCCACCCTGCCCCGTTAACCCTCGGAGGCAGGGCCTATGTTCCCTTCCTCTTTGTGCCCGCCACCTTGGTGTCAATCTCCCAGTGAACTGCACGCCTACTAGAGACTCAACAAACGCATATTGTTTGGTGAGTGGAAAATTGGTCCAGCATGTGTGTGCCCAGAATGTCTTGGGGTCTCACCTCACACCACTGCCATGGGATCCAGTCCTCCTCCTGCACATTTCCCCAGAAACACTCACTTGCAGTCCTCGCTCTCCAGCAGGCCACGGTACGTGTTGATCTCGCACTCCAGCCGGGCCCGCACGTCCAGCAGCACCTGGTACTCCTGGTTCTGACGCTCCAGGTCGGCCCGGATCTCGGCCAGCTGGTCTTCAACATTCGTGATCAGGCACTGCACCTGGGACAGCTGGGCGCTGTAGCGGGCCTCTGTCTCCGTCAGTGTGTTCTCCAGAGAGTTTCTCTGGGATGGGGAAGGAAGAAAATATCAGAGACAGTCTCCTTGGAAGGGGTTCCCTATACTGTCCCAAGGAAGCCATA